TGGATCTGGATACAGACCACAGAGCTGCATGTGTTCCATGTACATCCAGTACCATGTGTGTCTATATGACACCATGCTTCCCACCATGGTGATAATGGACTAAATCTCTGAAACTGTAAGCAAGTCCCAATTAAATGGTTTCTTTTATGAGTTGTTGTGGGCATGGCTTCTCTTCACAGCAATAGAACAGTGACTAAGACAGAAGTTGGTACCAGGGAGCAAGGTTATAGACACGACCATGTGGCTTGTTGGAAGAATGTGAACTTTGGGAGTTTGTAGAAACATTGGATTAGTAGAAAATTTAAGTGGGGCTCAATGGGCCAGACTAGTAGGAGCATGGAAGACTGTGGTGCTGAGGGTGATTTGAACTGTGGTGCTGAGGGTGATTTGAATTGTAGGGGACCCCAGCTCAAGAGGTTGCAGAGGAGAAGAATATTACTAAGTGGTCTAGAGTCCATTGTTGGGATAGTTGGCAAAGAACATGGCTGCTTTCTGCTCTTGTCAAAAAAGTCTACCTGAGGCTACATGGAAGAGTTTTGGAGTTTAATGGCATTGGACGAGGAAATGTCAAGACAGCCTTGTACTGACTGTGTCCTGCGGTTATTAGTGGCCACTCTGATGCCAATCAAAAACTAAAAGGAGCAAGCTGAGCAAGGAAAAAACAAAATGTAATTTGAAGAGAAAAAGAGCACCAGGAACTATATTAGAGCGAAGTCAGTTGCTCAAGGAGATTAAAAAGTTTAAAGAAAAGCTATATGGAATAAAGGCAGTGGTGACCTCAGGCCAAGACACCACAGCTAAGCTTCCAACTTGTGAAAAGAAATTAAAGAAATGCTTAAGGAGTAAAGGAAACCACCAAAACAGAAAGCTGGTGAAAAGGTATATGAGCAAGGGGGCAAGTTCCAGCCCCATCAATCAGCAGAACTCCGATTGGCTACTTGGTTCTGGATTTAGAGTCAAGGATGCAAAAAAGGGCTGTGGTGTTGTGGGGTACCCACCAGAGAATACTGCTCAGACATGGTTTAAGCCAACAGAAAGTCTTTATTAGCTGGTCAGTGACTGCCGTGGGTGTTCAGGACCCAAGCGCAGTCCCAAGTTTTTCACAGGGTGAACTTTCAAGCACCAACACCGTATTCTGGGTTGACATACTTCAGTTAATAAGAACAGTTAGCCGGAAACAGAACTACAGAAGCCAAAAAGCAAGGTTACTACATTTAAGACTTTCCCAGAACCTTGGACTTGGATAGATTAGGTCTTTGCTTTCATTTTGGCAGATGATACTGAGTTTTACAGCCTGAATGGTACTGGCATCATGGAGTCGCTCGTGCTAGGTCTGGGAGCCTACTAAGGTCCAGGGCCCTATTACATTCCCCACTAGTCTAAGTGAAGAAGTCAAATCAAGGACTTACAGTGCTCTATAGTTTAAGATGGAGAACCCCTCCATTAATCCAATCAGAACGAGAATTGAAGTGCCAGTCAGTGATGGTAGCAGAGTCAGTAGCCAGGGGGACCAAGAGAACAGAGACCAGCACCAATTATCTAATCTCTCTCTCTCTCTCTCTCTCTCTCTCTCTCTCTCTCTCTCTCTCTCTCTCTCTCTCTCCTCCCTCTCTCTCTCTCTCCTCCCTTCCTCTCCATCCCCAACGATGACAATTTTTTTCTAATTACTCCTGATCAACCAGAATAGAAACAACAGGTTTCTCCCAAAGCCATACTTAAGTCCCCTACATCTCAGGAGAAATGAGTCTAAGCCTCTCTGACTTTGTAGCAGCACTTCTGCAAGGGAATCTAACTGTTGTCCTAATTCAGAAATTGAAACTTACAATACTTCTAGGTCCTGATCAGCCTGTCTACTTACTTTCTGAAGGTTTTATCTCCCATGACAAAGGCTGATGTATCTATGGCTACTGAGCTAGTTATCCCTGCTCTGACCAGAGTGAGAAGAGGACAGGTGCAGCTCTTCATTCATTCATTCATTCATTCATTCATTGTAGTCTAGGGTCCATATTGTTTCTTTTTTCCATTACATAAAGCATCAGAAGAGCACATTTAGTCAAGCCATTAGTACATGCTAACCAAGTGGTCTCAGGGGCTTGGTGCTTTTTCTGTTGTCCAGATGAGTTAACCCGCAAGGCAGAACAGCGGGCATCAGAATAAGGGGAAACACCTAGGTTAAAGGTTTTTCTGTAACAGACAAGTTTAAGGCCCATGTAAAAGTCCTCTAATGTTATTTTAGGCTGCTACCCACCTCCACCCCTGTCACAATGGGTTATGAGCTTACAATCTGCTTAGTTCCTATCTCTGTGTATCATGGAGGCTGAGTATCTAAGCATAACCAGCAGCACTGACCAATTTCTGGCTGGGAATGACTAACTCTATCCCCAGAGTCCCTCCCTGTGACATGGAGTCTGATTCCGAAGGCTTTCCCAGTTTCCCAAAGGTCAGATTCTTTTTATGGAATTTTCAGATTTTTAATTTTATGGCCATTGGATTACATTTTCCTATTGTACATTGCTGGGGAGGGGCCTTTCTTTCTATGTATTCATCCATGTGTTTTCAGGAAGCTTCTATTTACAGCCCTAGTTTTTGCAAAAGAAACACCCTGATTCCTGACAACTAGGGGTCCCAGCCACAGGGTATGCATAGAATTGTAATCTCTGTATACTTATCTAAAAAGATAGACTTTCCCATCTTTCTGTTTTCCAGTACAACCAGATATTTAAAGTGGGCATCAGTAAGTAAAGGTAAAGATGAAGTATGGGTTACTGGCCACATTATGTATCTAAAATATATATAAGCTATATATATTATAGCCACATTAGTTGTCACCTACCCATATCTGTCTTTCTCAGTTACCAGCTCCAGGTCTGAGGGCAGTGGGGGCTGGAATATGACCTTGTATTCATATCAAACATGAGACTCAGGAGGAAGTAGAAGGGCATGGAGTGGAAGGGTTTGGGTCCCAATGAAACCTTAATTTTCATGGGTCCATTGTGTGGGAGACAGTCCATTTGGCAGGAGCATCTCTTACTTCTACTTTCTTGACATGGATGTGGTGGATCCATGGTGTAATGCCAGCTACCTTCACCACCATAGGAGAAGCGACGATCACCATGTAGGGTCCTTTCTAAGTTGGTTCCATTGCCCATTTAGCTAAGCCCATTGGCCCAGACAGTATCCCCGGAACCAAAGCACAAATTGGTGGTAAACTCAGAGAGTGATAGGGTCTCTGGGATAGTCCAATGGATAGACTTCATGGAGATATGGAGAGTCTGTATTGACTTGAGAAAGGAGTGGTTAGGGAGTCCTGACAACTGCTGGTCTGAGCTGGGGAAACAGTGGGGAAAGTCTTCCAAACATAATTTCATTAGGGGGTAAATTGTCTCTAACTGGGGCTCAGGGTGTCCAAAGCAAAGAAAGGGATGAAATGGTCTATACACCCTTCACTGGACTCTAATACAGTTTTGTTAGACTTGTTTTGGGGTTTTTTGTTCTTTTAAATGTCCTGACTATTCTCTTTACCTGACCAGTACTCTGAGGTCTCTATGCACAATGAATTCCAATCTAACCCGACTATTTTTACCATTAATTACAATAATTTGATTCATATGCTCTACAGCCAGTGGGGAATGGTGTACTAGCTAAAGAACCTCCATTTTATGTTAGGCATCCATCTTGGTACCTAATAGTAATTTGACTCTAACTCCAGTCAATGGACGATAACTTCTTAGTAACCTCAACTAAGTGACCCAATCACCCCTGTCAAGAAAAGTACACCCATGACCACTCCTTTGTAGTATACTATCACTAGCTGCCTTTTTGGCCTCTGAAAATTGCTTATGCAGATACTCAAGGGCTATTCTTAAGTCCCCTTGATTACCTAATCTTGACAGAGCAAAACAGTTCTTGGTTTGCTTGTGCAGATTGACACTCAAGGTCTTCTTGTGGTTTTCACATTTAAAAATCCTTCCCTCATCTCCGCCCCTCCTGGCTCAACAGTCTCTGTTTTCCTCAGAGATTGTTGTCCTTCTAGCAGCTACAATACATTTAGCTGATTACAATCTAAATTGAGTCTGTGGTCTTTTCCCAGGGGCCCCTTACTCCATAACATGGGGATTAAGGGAAGCTTTATACACTTGAGCTAAACCCACTAAGGGTGAGTGCAGGACACAGACTTGCTGATCCATATGTGGCTCAAAACGGGCCTGTCTGGGTTTCTGAGATGGCTCAGCAATTCTTGATGTTTGAAACTGACAACCTGAGTTTGGTCCCTGGAACCTGCATAAAGGTGGAAGACAAGAGCTGATGCCCAGAGTTTCCCTCTGACCCCTAAACACATTTCAAGGTATGAACACACATACCAGGCAATATAGTGATGATAAAATTTAAAAATTTAATATGCTTATCCATGTCCTTAAAGATGATGAGAGTTATTGAAATAGGCTGATAGATCTCAGTAGCTGGCTGTATTTTTGATGTAGAGTAGGGAGTGGACTTTATCTAGGTCAGCCCTTACATTTATGGTCCACTCAATTTGTCCTGCAGGAGCATCTGAGAAATGTACAACATGAACTTTCTCAATTGTATCAATGCAGGCATCAGACTTCATGCCTTAGGAAAGTTTCTCAAACAAATAGTTCAACCTATAAGAATACCTAGTCACAGAAATCAAAGTGTGGTTATAAACAGTTTATTTCCTAGATTGTAACATTTACCACATACTGCATGCTTTAAAACTGTCACAGCTGACCATACAGACAAACACTGCTTTTTAATCATAGCAAAGTGTCAAGGGGTAGTAAATTTGAAGTCAGAGCATAAAATTTCACCCACAGACCCAGCAGGTTCCTTGGGTGTCTATGGAAGTCATGAACACTAAAGTAGATCTCCCCCAAAATGATTGCACCCTTCATTCTACCACAGACCTTAGAGAACCACCAAGTTCTTGCCCCTGGGCCTCCCTTCAACACTCAGACCCATGAACTGCAGGCAGGAGAGGGCTACAGCTCAGCAAGAGGAAGCAGCTGGACCAGGAGACCAGGTAGCACCACAAGCAGCAGGAATGCCCGGCTGTCTCTGGCTCCTGTAGATGGAAGGAGAAAGAGAGTTTTCATATGGGCTATCTCAAGACAGGGATAGCTCCCCTAAACATTCAGAACTTTACATCCAGCTCAAAGTCCAAGAGAGTAGGTTCTTGGGGGCCAGGATTCCTAAAGTACTCAAATACCAGGACGTAAAAAAGCTGATAGATCCCCACTATTTCCAGAGTACTGTGCTCTAAGACACTGACTGGGGTTAAAAGCCTTTCCTCTTAAGAGTCTTCCTGGCCTTCTAGGGAGCCCCACAGGCTTTTCCTTCTTCACCCAAAAGGAGGTTTCTGGGTCTGAACCTTCTATAAGTCCATTGTTGCATCAATGTATATTCCTTCTGTGCCAGCTAATGTGAACTAGAACCTACCTGTGGCTCTCAGCCTGCTTGGACATCAACCATTTGGCCCAGAAGGGCAGCATCTTCTGACTGAATTTTGGACCTGGATAGGAGTCATGCTTTTTGGGGGGCTTGACATAAATTCCAAATTACTCTATGCAAATTCGTGAAGCCCCTGTGATCACTCCTGTAGTTTCACTTCCTGCTTCAAAGACTTCCCACGTTTCCAGAAACAGAGCTAATTTGATCTAAGATTGCTCTGTACTCAGTAGTCTAACTGTAGCTCATTTCAGGTTCTCCCTGGCCTCTCACTCAAACATAACTTCCTCGGACAACATTTAGTGCAGCCTGGATGTAAGTAAGTAATCCAGACACTGTGCAGATCCTAAGTGGTGGGCATAGGAGACAAGGTCTCTAGACGGTAAGCAAGTGATTTTCCTGTGAATGTCAAAACCAGTATGAGTTCGGGTCAGATGACTGACAGGTGTACATGGTTCCTCATATTTAAAAATAAAAGGCATTTGTCGATTTATATCTACATACCAATCATACGTCTTGAATGCCTCTCTCTTAATTCTCAAAGCAATACTAGTAGAATATTTGTACAGACATTTGATAACTTGCCAAGAGTCACAGAGCTATCGATGTTTGAACCAGATTACCATGGAGTCTGACTCCAAACCTATGACAGAGAGAATGGTATAGTAATTTCCTCTGGAATATTGAGGAAGGAGTGCTATGATAAGTGATATTTAAACTATGCCTTAAAAAATTGCCGGGCGGTGGTGGCGCACGCCTTTAATCCCAGCACTCGGGAGGCAGAGCCAGGCGGATCTTTGTGAGTTCGAGGCCAGCCTGGTCTACAGAGCGAGATCCAGGAACGGCGCAAAGCTACACAGAGAAACCCTGTCTCGAAAAAACAAAAAAAAAAAATAATCACCAAACTAAAATTGATGGTGTCTTCGCTCCCATAGACTGAGACATGTGGTCAAGGGATGAAGAGAGAACCCAAACCACACACAATGATGGGTATACAGTCATAGAGACCTCCAAACACAGGGAATTTTTGGTTTGAGAGGATAAAAACCCACTGATGGCACTTCTCACTCCTCACAGGGCTGGGCCTGGTAATATCATTTTCCTGAAGTCCCTCACTGTGTGAACCATTTCTGATACACCTTCACTGATGCATGTGCCCCTTGGCTTTACCAAAGCTACCCTTCATCATTCTAGGTACCTCACCTTTTGCATGGTCTACCAGGTGTCTTCTGGTAGGGAGCACCCTCTCTTCCATTTCATGATGTCCCCACCAGCTCCACCTCTAACACAGACCCAGACTCACCTGAGCTGCTGAAATCAATGTCTATTTCAATAAAACCACTGTCTGTTTCAATAGACCCACTATAGTAGCAATTGAAGTTGCTCTTCTTTCTTTTGGGGGAGCCCAGAAAAATTATGTCAGACCCTTTTGCATTTTGTGTTACAGTTACTTTGTGATAGACTTCATAGACTGGAATTAACACCTCCTCTTCTTGAGGGAAGAAGGAGAATGCTTTGATATCAACCCCCAAGCAGGTTTTGATGTTAAATAGTGTCCCATGTTCACTTAAAAATGTTGAAACAGCAATTTTCCAAGCTGAAGTGGAGGAAGCGAACTGCCCAAACCGCACAGAGCCGTCCCCTCTGTAATGAAACTTGTTCTTGGTTCCTCGATAAACTGAGTAACAAGTCTGGTTACTCAGAAGCTGAAGAGCTCTTGTTAAGTAGTAATGGAAGGCCTTGTAATGGAAGTTAAGGGGATTTTTCTTGAATTCTCTAACAGCTCTGTTAAAACCTTCATGGATGTTCCCGGTGTAGGCCACTAAAGCCATTCCATGGAAATCTTGGAAACCTTCGGGAGTGCTCGTTGTATTTTTTATCTCCTTCCACCGTTGCTCTGCCTTTTCCCACTCAAGTTTTAAATCCCCATTCATGTTGAAGTCTTCTTGTAACAGCTGGGGTGCTTTTCTCTCCATGTCTTCGACACAGCCCTCATACTGATCATCAAATGCATTGGGAGCCATGTCCAGGTTGGAAGCCTCAGTCAGGCCCGTCACCTGAAAGAGAGAAGTAGGTTCTTTGTTACTAGATAAGTTTGCTAAGTTGTCAGTATGTGCTGGGTGCTGTCTGGAGCCTACAGCATGAGATGTTGCATGCGGCATCCTCACACATGGCACATGCATGGACACATTCTCATTATGTTATGAGGGGGTGCAGAAAGGAAAGGCTGAGATCTCTGATTTTTTTTGTTTATGGATACTACAGTTTTTCTTCTTATTCAATTCTTTTTTAGCTAGCATTCAAAATAACAGGACTCATCATCACATTTTCATATACATATATCATTATATATTGCTCATAATCATTCACACACAATGTCCCCCCCTTACTAATATTATCTTTACAATACTTCTTCAAGAGTCATGCTCTCTAACATCCTCTAGCCACAGACTCAACCCTGGCCACTGTAATATCACGAAGTCGTGGGCAGGTTAAAGCAAGGTCAACAGGATGTGGGTTGAGAATATTACCTGCTGGGTGAAAAACCAAGTCAGGAGGAGTGTGTGAACTTTTAAGTCTAGAAGAGAAGTCATCTTCAACTTCAAGAACATCTGCAAGCAAATATTAGACAATGAAAGTGGGATCCTACTCAGTTCCTGCAAGAGCAAGTCTGGCCCCAGAACCTCTCTGGCTTCCTCTCTTGCCATATATTCCCTTCTGCACATGACAATGGCTTTTCTGACACTGTGATAGAGAAGATTGTGATTCTGCCAGGAAAACCCTAACTAGTCAGCACTTTCATGATATTAAGACTTTCCAGCTATCAGACTGTGAACTAAGTAAGCGCCTTTACTTTATAAACTTTCTATCATCAAGCATTTTGTGATAGTAATAAACACAAACTGAAAAAGATCAGTGGGTAAAGGACTTGCCTTGCAAACAAAGACCTGAGTTTGACCCTAAGAACCCATGGAAAAACAGGTGTGATGACATGCACTTGTATTCCAGCACCAGGAGGTGGACAGAGATGGGTCCCTGAGATCCCCAAGACTCACTGGACAGCCAGACCAGCCTGCTTGGTGTGTGTCCCAGGCCTGTGAGAGACCCTGTCTTTACAAAAATGGTGGACAGTGCCAGAGGAATGACACCAGAGATTGTCTTCTGACTTCCACATGCATGTACCCACACACATGCATGTGCCCATGCAAATAGATATGCCCACACATGTACATGTACCCACACACATGCATGTGCCCATGCAAGTAGATATGCCCACACATGTGCATGTGCTCACACACAAAAAAAGAAGAGAAAAGAAAAACAAAAAGGAAGGAAGCAGACTAACACAATCAGCCTTATTAATTCTTGTATCTTATGAGAATGTATTGTTTTCAACTCTTTCAGGGGTGGAAATTTTAAGTATACACTGAATGGCAACTTAAGGAATGAGAAGCAAGGTCACCCTCATTGCTGTGGACCCATCCCTTCATTCCTGCCTATGGCTTTTAGAAAATCATGAAAGCTCTCCCCGACACTTATCTAATCTGTTGTGTTACTGTCCACAGAATTTTGACTTAGTCTGGCAAGATAATCCTCTCCCCACACCTTGAGAATGGCAGAATGGAGCTGCATGCTGTGGCTGACTAGTTGCTCTTGGGAAGGCTGGGACTCCCAGCTCCTTCACAGCTTGGCTTCTCCTGCCCTGAGCCTTTAGGGGACACTGTAGAAACAACAGATCTAGGAGTTCAGCACTGCAGTGAAGGTTCCCACCTTCTTTACGTCCTCAACTTTCAAAAATTATTAATTTTTGTGAAATAACTACAATCAGCTACATAAGAGCTGAGCTCACTGACATCTTTGCTTACAGACAATCACACTCTCAAGGACATCAGACAATTTGCTTCAACTTGATGTCAGGATAGATTGGACAGCACAATGGTGGCACTGAGCACTTGGGATACAGAGGCTAGTGGATCTTTGTGAGTTTCAGGCCAGCCAGGACTCCACTGTCATACCCTTCTTCAAATAAAAGATATAATGTACAAATAGCTACAATGAAATGGACAAAAATAGCCAAAAAAATTTATGTTGGACCAGGCATCAGAAGCAAACAAAAGCCTGATGGTGGTGGTTCACAGCTTTAATCCCAGCACTCAGAAAGCAGAGACAGGTGGATCTATGAGTTCAAGGACAGCCTTGTCTACAGGGCTAGTTCCAGGACAACCAGGGATAAGTGAAGAAACCCTGTCTTGATAAATAAAACAAAGAAGAGGATAGAAGCTAATGTTTGCATGGCACTGGGAGGAAAATGGAATTAATTAAGCATATCCTTGTTCTGTTCTGAAAAATCAAGGTAGTATAGGAAAGAAAAAGTCTATATATGTAAGAGACTATGTACATGGATGCCAGTTGCTTCCTATACGTCCTGGGAGGTAAATTGTGTGGTCCTCATCATATTTTTAAGTCTCTAAAAAGATTGATAGCCTCATGTCTGTCCTTCCTTTATCTGACCCCATCTCCCTACAGGGGCTATTTCTTGCCCAGAACTGACCTTCTGGCTTTAACCCTTGAGTCATAGACCACCACCACCCCACCTCACCCTGGACACCCACTGCAGCCCTCAGATTTTTCTCAGGGTCCCCTCAACGTTAGAGGCCTTCCCCTTAGAGGACAGAGTTCAGAGTTGTCAGGTACCTGAGCAGGTCTTTGGTGGCTGGGTCTCTGGCCTCTTCTAAAAGCAAGTGTTGCAGAAGACAGTGCTGTGGCCTTTTATCCTGTTGACAATACACTTTCAGTTTCAGATTAGATTTGAAAGGAAGCCAGCGAGTTTATGAACTACTCAAATTAGTTAAATTACATTTTTTACTATACCTTTTCTGTCCCCATCTCTTTTTTGAGTTTTTCATTTTTGCTTTTGTTCAAAACAAGTTCCCCTTAGCCTGGATTGACCTCTCCTCGCTATGTAGCTGAGGATAACCTGGACTCCTGATTCTCTGGCCACAAAACTAGATTTATTTGTGCAAAAATAGAACCCAGGACCTTGTGCTGCTCGGCAATCACTCTACCAACCAAACTGCATCCCCATCCTGCATCTTTTCCTTTGTCTGTACCAAAATGAGTCAGGATCTTTCTGTTGTTCCCCATTGGATTGATGCGGGTTTGGGCAGTGACTGTGCATGTGATATATAGATAATGCAAAAGGCAGAAGTTGGTTGACTTTTGCCCTATACTCCAATTTTACAAATTAGCAGAAAGCCTGTTGTGGTGGTTCACACCTTTAATCCCAACACTTAGGAGGCTGAGACAAAAAATCTCTGTGAGTTTGATACCAGTCAGGTCTCACTACACTGTGAGACCCTTTCAACAAAACTACCACCAAATCACCTAAGCATTTCAGGGGAATTAGGTAAAAGTGAAGAGAGGTGACCATTTTGTTTATTTTTGTTTGTTTGTTTGTTGGTTAGTTTTTCAAGACAGAGTTTCTCTGTTTAGTCCTAGATGACCTGAAACTCACTCTTTAGACTTGGCTGGCCTTGAACTCACAAAGATCCTCCTGCCTCTGCCTCCTAAGTACTGGGATTAAAGATGTGCACCATTGCTGCCAGACTTGAGTGGTGACCAATACTAAGGCTCACTTTTGCATCCTTAGTTGCTCCTGGCTACAGTTTTCTCTTATGCTGACTAGAGCATATGAACAAAGTGTTGATGTTAGAGTTTCCTCTGAGAACTACCTGCTTCTTTCAATCCAAGATCTTGTAACGAATCCATCTTCTTCCTGGGTCTCTAGACACAGCCACCAGGTGACATATTTGGTAAAAAATGCCATAACAGACCAGGTGGCCATAAATCTATAACCTCCTGTTCTGTCATGTGAGGAGAAGAGGGGGGAAAAAGAGGCTCCCCCAAAATAAATGCCCTGGGACCTTTTGTGCATCCAGCTTTCATAACTGAACTTTCCCAGAAATAGAACTAGGAAGAGTGTATGCTTATGCTGCTGTATATTTGGAGGATCTTACAAGTAAGAAACCTAACCCCCTTCCTCCTCTTATTTCCCTTATCTATTCCTCCCTTCCTCCTCCTCCTCCTCCTCCTCCTCCTCCTCCTCCTCCTCCTCCTCCTCCTCCTCCTCCTCCTTTGGAAACAGGGTCTTGTTATGTTACCCAGGCTGGCACAAAGTCTTGGTCTCAAGTCTCCTCAGTAGCTGAGAATATTAGATATCATTGCCCTGGATCTAACTCTCCCTTTAATCAAGATCTCTCACACAATCTTGGTGCAACAGGCTCCAGTGCTTTGGTTTGTTCCCACACTACTGGATAATCCCATGATGTTATATTGGACAAGACATTGTCTGGTCCTGATGATTGATATTGGACTAAAGGCACAAAATCCTACTGGCAGAGAAATGCAAACCTGAAAATTGTGGAAGTGTTCCCAGGTGTTCCCTATGTGCCTGAAATCCCAACACTTGGGAGATAGAGGCAGGTAGATCAGGAGTTCAAGGACAGCCTTGAGTACATAGCAAATTTGAGACCAGCCTGGACTACCTGAGAACTTATCTCAAAAATAGAATTTTAGAAAAGGAGGGTGGGTGGGGGATGTTAAGAAGGCCACTGCACAGGAAGGTGCTCAAACCTAAATTAGAAATCTCTTGGGGACAGGGTAGACAAATCCTTTATATGCCAAGACTGTGAGAAAGAGGAAGGTGGCTGTGAAAGAAGGGGGTGACAAAAATGCCATGAGTGTGTTTTAACACTCAACACACTGTGTGAGGCACGCCTTAACTGGTGGTGGGAGCCATGCTGTGGGTGATTAGGCACAGGAGTGGCGTTCAGCTGCTTCAGTGGTGCAGGCAGTTAGATTGTAGGAAGTTCACATCAAATTCGGCTCACACTTAGCCTGTCTGACTATCAGAACTTCTAATCAGCCTTGTTAGCGTTCCTTCTTGCCCAAGACTGGCTCAGAGGGACTGTCCTTCTATAACTCAGGGTAAGGGCAATCTAAAGGAGGAATCCCTCTTGGTGGCAGTGTTCCTGGAGGACCGACCAGTTGGTGCATCTGTTGGTGTGTTGAGACCAGCCTGGACTATACTCGGTCCTCCAGATCCAGCATCTTAAACGTAAAATGCCTAAAACAAAAAAAGGAGAGATATCAATGTGAAATA